GCGCCTATCTTTCTACCATCCTCATCTACACCATCCTTCCATCTGAGTTTTGGCCTACCCCTTTTTCTACTTCCCACGGGTTGTGACATAAGGATTCTTCTAGGAGGGTTGTTCTGCTGTGATCTTGCTAGATGTCCTGCCCATCTTAGTCTTCCTATTCTTATAAGAGATACTACGTCTTTACCACCAAATATTTGTTTATATCTGTGGTATACCTCGTAGTTGTATCTCCTCCTCCAAACACCATTTTCACAGATGCCACCAAATATTCCTCTCAGGATCCTTCGTTCAAATATAAGCAGAAGGTCTTCGTCTGCCTTGGAGATGGTCCATGTCTCCGATCCATATGTCAACACTGGCTGTATAAGGGTTTTGTATATAGTTATTTTTGTTTTTTGGCTTAAGTTTCTACTTCTCATTTGGTGCCAATATAGTTCTGAGATAATTCGCAAGTCCTGTTCGTCAATTCCAGTTGTTCTCATAGTTTCGATTATCTTTTGATGGTTTACGCAGTCAAATGCTATTCTAAAATCAATAAAACATGCATATACATCTACATTCATGTCTCTGCATTATTGTGTTAACACATTTAAGGCAAAATGAGCTTCTCGTGTTCCCCGTCCATTTCGAAATTCGAATTGAGTGTCACTCAACTGAAACTCTCACTTCTTCTAAATTCGTGTATGAATGATTCTGAGAAAAGTTTTTCGCAGTATGAGGCGTTGGATTTTTTGGTAATGTTACGAATGCTGATTTTAGCCAGTCTGATGGTATTTTACCTGTTTCGTATATCTTTTTGAATAGGAGTGCTTTTAAGTTGAGGCTGTTACTTTCGTTGTCTGCAATTAATTTAAGTATTTCGACATTGATATTATCTGGACCGGTGGCTTTTCCGTTTTTCTGAGCTTTTACTGCATAAATAACTTCTTCTTTTGTTATTTTTGCACCTTTTTCATTTATTCGATTGTTTGGGAAAGTATATATGTAGTGTTTATTTTCATATTTTTACATTTTTTTTTTGGTTTCTTTTACTGTACTATGATATGATCTAATTTAATGGTATATTCTAACGAGTTAGCTTTAAAATATATTGTTTTTCGTTATTCCGTTAAATTGCTTTGTTAAACGGCTAGTTCATTTATTATGTTTAAAGTACGGAGAATTTGACTTCTTTTGTTATTTTTGGAAGATATTTCAAAGCTCCCTACAATAGAGTTGATTTATGGGATGCACTTGACCACCCCTTAGAAATTGTAGGTGCATTTTTACCCTTAAAAGGCAAAACACTTCCTATTGAGACAGCGAAAACATCGACTGTACGGTTACGTCCTATCGAGCCCCTGCGTCCCGACGTGGTACCAACGCTACTCCACGGGCTACGAATACATCAATATTTCAAAAGGTAAGTCTACATTCTTTGTACAGATAGCAGTATAAGTTAAAGCAAATTAATTCTCGTAATTTATTCACAGTTGTAGTTGCTATTTTTCGCTAATTTATTTACAGTCAAAATCTTGCATTTTTTCTTAATTATTATTTCTAATATCATTTAACCAGCGACCTCGTGAGTTTTATATAAAACATCGATCATCTCTGGATGGAGGAGAACAATATTTATCATCGTCAAAAAGTGTCTGAATGTATTCTTTCCATCTCTCCAGTTTGTCTTCTGTACCTATAATTATCTCGTTATTATTATTTCTTAATATTGTTTCTTGTCTCTTTCTGTATCTACCTGTCATTTCTTTCACTTTTTATAGACATTAAAGGTGTCGTATCTTTCCTGAAGTTGTTCAATTTCTAGGCATTTGGTTGACATCTAGTTTTCTTTAGCTTCTCTGCACTTTTTTCTAATGATTTTATTGACTCGTTTGTATTCTATTGGGTTTGTTTATGTTTTCGTCTTACGTCCATGAGGTCCATGATCTCTTGCGTTATCCATTCTTGTTTTCTGTTGTTTTTCGTGAACCCGATGTCGTCTTCTTGTATCTTTGTTATTTTCGTTTTTAGAGCAGTCCATGTTACTTCAACGTCTGTCTGTACCAAGTTCTCTAGCGTTTCTATTTCTTTCTCAACCTTGATGCTTATTTCATTTTTTTTTCAGGGTTCTTCAGTTGTGAGATGTCTATTTTTCTTGACATTTTTTTCCTTTTAACTTTAAGAAACCTTTTAAGTCTAAAATCCATTATAACTGGATTGTGATCGCTATGAATGTCAGCTCCAGGATATGTTTTAGTAGATTTTATGTACTTCTTGAAGTTGCTATCGAGCAAAATGAAGTCAATTTGATTTCTAACAATTTTATCTTCTCTGTCTGCAGGTGATTTCTAAGCATGGCAATGTATTCATTGTACCATGATTTCCAAGTGTATACCCTTCTAGGATGTTGTTTGAAGAAGGTGTTGGCTAATAACAGGTTGTTCTCTACGCAGAATTGTATCAGTTTATCTCCAATATTGTTTCTATTATCAAGATCGTATGCTCCTCGTTATCTCGACTTTTTTTTGTCAGTCGCATTATTTCGTCTATTTTGCTATAAAAGTTTTCATTTTCTTTCTCTGATTTGTCACTTGTTGGAGCATAGACCTGAATAACATTTATGAGTTTGATATAATATTGATGTTTATTTTAACATTTAATGGTCTTGATGTTTCACCTAAATAAAAATGTTTGTATTGACAAGGTTTGTGAATAACAACAACTGTTGTTATCAACAGGTCCTCGAAGACACTTTGTCTCAGGACCATGTAACCTTATGTAGAGTCATACGTCGCCATGTTACCAATTCCAACGGTAACTTGAACATCTTAATTTTTAATAATATATAATGTAACAAAACTTTAAATTAACAACATTTAACGGGTTTTTACCCATATATTTTAGTGGCTCATAGCATGTATACTTCGTTACACTGATGATGGAATTTACATTCCGAAAACGTTCTGTAATGTAATTGTGATATAGCCCGTTTGGGTATTTTATTATATTCCTTTTATAAAGGATTTGAAATAAAAAAAATTGTGATATATGGTATTACAGGAACTTAGTTTCCTAGTGGACTTTCTTGTTCATTGTCAGGTTTAGTTTTAGATGAAACAGATCTCAATGTGTTTGTTGTTTTGAATGTTGCTGAAATGTTGAATTTATTTCCTATCATTTTATGTATGGTATTGATATTTTCCTCGTATTATTTCTTGTGAATGTTATAGAATCCCGTTTTAAGCTGTTCTGTTCCATTCAGTTTATTCTTAAAAAATCATTATTTATAAACAACAAAGGGTTATCATTTTTTTTTAATTAAACATATGTTAAATATTTTTCCTCTAAGAACAAGTAATTTTCGCTCTATTGTATAGAGATTTAATGATTCCCTTTTTAATATTGATGTTGTGATTAGATATCTGTTAGTTGGTGTGTATTGGTTTTCTATACACCTGAGTCTCATATCCAGTATCATTCTTTGAGATTAAAACATTGAAGAAAGGTAGTGTGTTATTATATTCCTTCTCTCTCCACATGATCTATATACCTCCACCATATTTACAAATGCGCCATTAGATAAGACTTTAAAAATAATGAAAACAAAATTAGAGAATGATGATATATTGACAATTAAAACAAGACTAAATGTATGAGGCTATAATGTAATTATTGACATTATGTACTGATAATACCTACCTATTTTCAATGAATTCTGTAAACAAAATTTTGGTCTAGCAATGGGCTCTGGAGAAATATTTTCAGGGGACAACCAAGTGGCTAAAAATATATGGTACCCATCCACTAGACCTATATAAGCTGGTCTAGGGTTCCAGAATCCTGGAATGGATATCATGATGAAATGGAAGATGGCTTCCATGAAAAAAAAATATATCCATGTCTATACAAAGAGGTGTTAGACAAGGATATACAATTTCACCAAAATTCTTCAATTAAGTACTAGAAGACATTTTCAAGAAACTACATGGGAGAAATATGGAATCAAAATTAACAGAGAATACTTAAATCACCTAAGATATGCAGATGATATCATTCTTATAACGACAGACAAAAAACACATAATAGAGTGAATGGTACAACAATTAGACCAACAAGTGACAAAGTTGTACTGAATATGAATTATGACAAAAGTAATCACAAATCAATAAGAAGAGTTAAAAATCCTAGTTAATCAAAAACAAACAGAAGTTAATTAATACATATATTGGGAATAGATAATAAAATTAAATAAAGACAACCAAACTATAGAAACAAAGAGACTAAACCTAGCTATATATTGAAAAATAAAAAGTAAACTTAATATCTAAAAATGAAACCTTTTAAACCAGTGCGTTCTTCCAGTCTTTACATATGGATGTCAAACTTGTACATTCACAAGAGCTAATATGGATAGAATAGCGAAAATACAAAGGGCAAATGATCAAAATACAACTGTCAGAAATAAGGAGAAATTCCTGTATAAGAAACATCACAAAAGTTAAAGATACTCCCAGCCAAATAGTGAAATTGACCAGCCTATTAGACAAAAGATGGACTAAGATTATTACATTGGAGACCATGGACATATACATGAAAACGAGGGAGACCACAGATATGAGGTGGGTAGATGACATTAAATACCATGTTCATTCAAGGTAGAGATTGGAGAGCAAAAGAGAACCCTATGTCCAATATTGGATGTCTCAAGGCTAATAGATATTGCAATAAATTTGCAGCCTTTTAATGAAGATGCATTGTAATATAATGCACAGAGTTTTATCAAGAAAAATATTACCAATTACAATAACTTAAATGATCATAGGGTGAACACAGATAGTTTAACAAAAATGTGGTATGTAAATTTGACTGAATTCCTTACCAAACTTAGAATTGTTTATTCCGTTCTGTTAACATTTATTTAGTTGAAGAATATTATTGCAAATACTACCCTCTAATCACACATAACACAATTTTGAATCTATAATTGTATACTCAGTTATTGCCAATAAAGAGACATAATATACAAAATAAATATTTTATTAAACATATGTATGAACAGCATTTAGTCAAAAATTCTAAATAAAATCACAAAAGATTCCTATATTTGCATTCACATCAAATTTGTGTGTGGTTGAACATGTTCTGGAGGTACATATCCAATTCTGGCATAGATTTCTTTATTCGTTTTAGGAGCTACCGACCATACGGGTGGACTGAATGATTTTTGTTGTTTTTCCTTATTTTGTTTCATCTCCTCATATTCACTTATATCATCCAGTTTTAGTTCAATACTAGTTGGAGGCCTTCTTAACATGGTTAAAGCTAAAAAATATGAATTTATACAATATACATATACTATAAAATGTTATACCTTTTTATTAGTACTTCTAATAGAATATAAACTTTTATTGTAAGTATATTTTGATATTATATTAATGTAAACAATTACAAGTCAACGTCAAATTTCTTCTTCTTGCTGGGTTTCAGTTAACTGGCCTACTGGCCAGAATATTTTATTTCTATTATTTTTTAAATTTAAAGTTGTAAAAAATGATATGATGGCAGTTAGTATTCGGAATAAAACTAAAGAGGAGTATAATCTAACAAATTTTACCATTTTTGTGATTTCCTTTATTACTAAAACTATTTTCTATCACTTGTGTCCTTGTTTGACCAATGTTAAAGGTTCTTCTTCTTCTTTCGTTTTCATTAATAACGTATCGTATATCGTTTGTCAGATAGGTTATCCTTCAACCTTCAATTTGTTCATTACCATCGATCTATGACAGACAAAAATATAATAAGAAGAGTGTATAATTAGAACTAAATAATTTATACAAAATATTTACCAAATCAAATATTAGTAAATTATGTTAAACATTTAAATAAAATGGCTGCAGTTTTAAAAAAGAGAGCTCTAGCTGAATACAGCCAAACAATCCAAGAACCTGCTTCTGCTATTCCTACTAAAAGACTTCGTTTGGTAAAAAAACAAATATCAACATCTGGAACGAACTTCTTGACTTTGGTGAACCATTTAGAAGAATGCAAAACAAGCAATGAAGTTTTAAACTTGCTTCTTCAAATATCCGATACAGATCTGGAAGTTAATGATATTAGTGAGGCAGTTAAGAAACTGGGAGACCATTTTAAAAATGAGAAAGAATCCTCTGTAAGAGTGAAAATTCTTTCTTTGTTGTATGAAATCGGTGTAGAAAATAATTCAGAAGTTGTGGCTGTAATAGATGAAACTATATTATTGTTAAAAAATGATAATTCCCATAAGGTCATTGCTCAGGGAATGAATACAATTTTAAAATTAGGCAAATTAGTTTCCGACGTTGCTACTGCATTTCATGTGAAGCTAGTAGAAGTTGCTAAATTGTATTTGAAAGACACTAGTCATGCTGTGAAATGTAAGTGTTTGGAAATAATTGGTGTCCATTCTCCTTTAACTACAGACGAAAATACTGAAATGTTGGTACATCTCATAAGATCTTATTTTAATCATGATGATGCACGGGTTAGATGTCAAGCTTTCTCAAGTATTGTGTGTCTTCATGAAAGAAACTTCAAAATTAATCCAAATATTTATATAGATGTCAGTAATGCCCTTAAAGATGACTATGAAATTGTTAGACATGTTGTTTTAAAGCTTATCTGGTTGTTAGGTAATACATATCCAGAAAATGAAATATTTGTACCTGGAAGTGAACATGAAATCAGGTTGATAGATGATGCTTTTGGTAAAATATGCAATGGAGTTACAGATCTATCCATGAATGTAAGGACACTGGCTGCACAATTGTTAGGTAAGTATTTTTACCATAATATTGTTTATTTTAAAGTTGTCACTTGTTTATGTATTATTCTTAACTGTTTTTATTACATACATACATATATAATTGTTCCTCCTTAACTGTTACATGTAGAAGGAGGTGATTCTTGCTTTTGATGAATTTTCTCTATTCTTTTCTGTTTTCTGACAATTATGTTGTTTCTTGCCAAGATTTGCCCTTATTTTGTAATATCTCTACTATGTCACTGTTCCATCTTTGATTGGTCTGCCTTTTCTGTTTTTCCCTATTGGTTAAACTTCCCACACTCTTTCCACTTGTGTTTATTTCTGGTATATGTCCATTTACTTTTAAGTCTGTTTCTTATTTCATCATTTTTGAGTCTGTCTGTCCTTCTTGTCACTATTGTTCTTCTGAGGTATTTCATCTCTGCTGCTTGTAACCTACTTGGATGTAGTCTGTTTAAAATCCAGTTTTCTTCTACATTTATAAAAAGTTGTGGGCTTAAACTATCTCCTTGTCTAACTCCTTGTGTTGTTTCAATTGTTTGGGATTGCATATTTTGTGTTCTTATTGTATTGGATAATGCAATGCCAATTATTAAGTACCTTAACA